TATATGTATATTATAAACAAACTAAATATATTAATAAAGTAACGTGATAGTTGTATAATTGGAAAGAACAATCACATACATATTTACAAATAATAGATTTCCGAGCAATCCAAGTCTCAAGGAGAAGTGGATCGAGGCATTAGTGACTTTGAACAACCAAGAAAGTGCACGAAATGTGCCGAAAAGTAGTCGCATCTGCATATTACACTTCACATCAGAGTGTATAGAACGTTTTGGTTATAATCAACTTCGATTAAAACCAAATTCTGTTCCATCCATTTTTCCACGTGCCCAAGAACAAACGTAATACAATTAACAGTAAACACATGTTCTATATAATAAATCTATTAGTAATATAATTATTGTAAATTACAGGATTGAAATATTACCAGCTACACCAGAAATTCCATTGTTAAATACAGATGTGATTGATAATCAATGCCTAACTGAATCGGAACATATTGAAACTGTAGAAGTAACGACAGAAATATCCACAAAAAATCAAGATCTTAATCCAAAAAGAAAGGAACCTGCAAATAACCTGATGCCAATAAGGTAAACATATTTCTAAATCATGCTTATTCCTTTGCAATATCTTTCGAATCATTTTTATTCATGTGATTGTTAAAATGCTAAACAATCCTTTTATAGTTTGAACACTGAAATGGAGATAGAAACGCCATTACTGCATACAACATCTAACATTTCAACAAAGAAATTTCGATATCCTGGTGATATACCGGATGCAGATCTATTAACCCCGAGGGAGAAGACTATGTGTATAAACGTATTAAAGCATGCATGTCAGAAAAAAGATAAAATAATAAATAGATTAAGAGTTCAGCACATCCGCCAGAAAAGAAAAATAATAAACTTACAAGAGCTATTAACCGAATTAAGACAGAAATTTGAGTTGTCGGAAAATGTTCAAAATATTGTACAGGTAAAGAGTATATTTTTGAATAGAAAAATCACAGCAAAATGATCTTGGTTTTGTTAGAAGTATTGAAATCTTAGCTTCTAACAAAATCAAGAACATCTTGCTGCAATTTTACAAATATATTCATTATTTCATTGATCTGGGCTGCTTTCGCGAGAAAATTAAAATGATTCAGATTAAAATGACCTTGTGCTATGATTGGTCAAATCTAGAATTTCATTGAATAAAATTTTAATGGGATGCAATAAAATTTTTAATTTGACCAATCACAGCACATGGTCATTTTAATCTGGATCATTTTAATTTTTAATTATTTATAATTAATATTATAATTAATATATAATTAATTAATAACAAGTAGTAAATTGTATATATAAGATCTAGTTAGAAGTAAATTGTATATAACATCTAGTATAGAAGAATCACTAGAATGTAAAATTGAATAATAGTAAAAATTGTGGTAATTAATATTTTATTAACTTCTATTCCTGTAATATTCATATTGATTGCTAATGTAATTAATTATATAATAACATTAAT